CTATGAATTTGATAGTAAGGAACACAATTCAGTTCATAAGATCTAGGATTAGTCTTGATATCTGAGGACAAGAATATCATAGAATTGGACTGCAAGTATACCTTGTTAGAACATAAACTCCATGGGAACAGACAAGATGTTGATCTTGTCTACTCTGGTACTCCTAGGGGTACCAGAAGCTATGGCTCATGTAGTAGAATGCCAGCCTTGAGCAAAAAAAGCTAAGGGACAGCGCCCAGTACCAGCATGCGCGCGCACGCGCACACACACACACACACACACACACACACACACACACACACACACAAACATCTCTTTCAGGTAAGCCCTTCTCTACCTTGAGCTCCCATTGATATTACTAAGGAATAGTACCCTTAAACTTCATAGATAAAACTATGGTTGGAATATTCTTTTTTGTGGGTAGGAGTAGAGTATCTTTGTATGATTACTCTTCTGTTCTATAATTTTAACAAAAACTCACATCCAAAGGCTATTTTTGTTGTTGTTGTTGGTCATGGGCCTGAACTCTGGGTCTGAACTGAGGGTACCGTCCCTCAGCTCTTCAGCTCAAGGCAAGTGCCCTACTACTTGAGCCACAGTAGCACTTTCGTTTTTTTCTGCTTATGTGGTGCTGAGGAATTGAACCCAGGGCATGCAAGACAAGGCAAGCACTCTACCACTCAGCCATCTTCCCAGCCCATGGGCTTTTTCTTTATGCCACTTTTTTCACCCTATTCAGAGCCATTTCTCTTCTAGCATGTTCTCTCATCTGAAGAGTCTAAGAATTCTCAGAATCAAGTAGAATTTTGTTTCATAGTTCTCTCAACTGATGCTCTCCTCTTTCTTTTTGAGAAGAAACCCCAAGGTACCTACATTTAGAAATACCCATCACTGGGGCAGGGAAGGTGGCTCAGTGGTAGAGCTCTTACCTTGCATGCCTGAGGCCCTGGTTCCTCAGCACCACATAAGCAAGAAGAAAAAAGCCAGAAGTGGCGCTGTGGCTCAAGTGGTAGAGCGCTAGTCTTGAGCTGAAGAGCTGAGGGACAGCGCCTAGGCCCAGAGTTCAGGCCCCACGACTGGACGCCACACACACCCCCAAAAAAGAAAGAAATATCCATCACTACATATCCAAGTTCATCACTCCCATGTTGCACCTTTGATCTAATTTCAGGGTAGATATGATTACATTTTCCAGTCTGTGGTATTTTGTTATGGCAGCCACTGCAGAATAACATATAGAATAACTAACTCCAAGAATTGATTGCACAGGAGTCAAGAGCAGTGGGCTGGATTCTAATCTTAGCTTGCCACTCTGACTCTAGGATGACACTTAACCCTGTTATCTATAAAATAACTAGCTTTAAGTAGCACCTCTTCAGTTCCCTTAAAACATCCAAACTGGGGTTGGAGGTATGGCTCAGGTTGTACAGCGCCAGCCAATGAGCAAAACCATCAGAACCAAATTCAAGTCCTGGTCTCAAAAAAGGCCAGGTGTTGTTGCCTCACTAATCCTAGCTACTCAGGAAACTGAGCTCTAAGGATCATGGTTAAAAGCCAGCCCAGGCACATAGGTTTGTGAGACTCTTATCTCCAATTAACCACCAGAAAACTGGAAGTTGTGCTGTAGCTCAAGTGGTAGAGTGCTTGCCTTGGGCTGAAGAGCTCCAGTACTCTGGCCCAGGCCCAGAGTTCAGGCCCCACAACTGGACCCAAAAAAAATAAATAAAATTATACATTAGCAAATCCCAAAGTGAGGATGGTATATCCTACCTTTGTTAGGACCCAAGCTATATGCATTACATTTTAAAACTTTTTCAAATAGTTTTATTGATGTATAGTTGACATAAACTACAACACTTGAATATACAATTGATATTTTAAAAAAAGTATATACCAGCCAGGCACCAGTAGCTCACACCTGTAATCCTACCTACTATGGAGGCTGAAATCTGAGGATCACAGTTCAAAGCCAGCCCAGGAGGGAAAGTCCGTGAGATTCTTATCTCCAATAAACCACCAGGGGAAAAAAAACCAAAAACACAAAAAACAGAAGTGGTGCTGTGGCTCAAGTGGTAGAGCACTTGCCTTAAGCTATAGAGCTGAGGGACAGCGCTCAGGCCCAGAGTTCAAGCCCCAGGACTGGACACACACACACACACACACACACACACACACACACACACACACACACTTGTATGGCTGGGAAGGCGGCTCAGTGGTAGAGTGCTTGCCTTGCATGCATGAGGCCCTGGGTTCGATTCCTCAGCACCACATAAGCAAAAAGAAAAAAGCTGGAAGTGGCGCTGTGGCTCAAGTGGTAGAGCACTAGCCTTGAGCTGAAGAGCTGAGGGACGGTGCCCAGGCCCAGAGTTCAGGCCCCACCACCAGAGCCAAAAAAAAAAAAAAAGGATATATCTATAAAATCATCTCAGTAAAGTACATACTCATCATTCCAAGTTTCCTAATACTCTTATTTAATACCTCCCTCCCTCCTCTGCTTCCACCTCACATTCCCAAATAACCATTGCTTTTCTCTCATCATAGATTAGTTCACATGTTCTCATTTTACATGAGCAGAATCATATACTATATGCTCTCTTTTCTTTTTGGTATAGTTTCTATCAACATAACTAAGATGCATTCATGCTGTATTTGTAGTTCATTTTTATTTCTGAGTGATATTCCTTTATATGTCACCCACAGAAAAGCAGTTCTTATTTCTGAACCTGAGCTTCTTGTTAGGTGTTCAAACTCATTTTACATTTATCTTAACTTTACTGTTTTTTAAAGAATTAGGATTCTCAATCTACTTAGATCAAAGCAGGTTTATTAACAGCATTCCTCACAGCCTTGCTTGTTTCAAATTTTTTGAATAATGTTTCCTTCACTTAAATCTTACATAAAGTCCATCATTATATAAATTAATAAACCTAACTTTGTGGAACTACACTGTATTTTTGGTGGTCTTTATCAAATGTTTTATTTAGTTGGTTGTGGGGCTTGAACTCTGGGCCTGGGCACTGTCTCTCAGCTCTTCAGCTCAAGGCTAGTGCTCTACCACTTGAGCCACAGCACCAATTCTGGTTTTCGGGTAGTTTACTGGTGATGAGTCTCAAGGACTTTCCTGCTGGGGCTGGCTTTGAACCACAATCCTCAGATCTCAGCCTCCTGAGTAGCTAGGATTACAGGCCTGAGCCACCAGCACCCTGCTTCAGATGTTTTATTAACTGATATGACTGCTGACTACAATATGTGAAAAACAATAAAGCACATGACCTTATTTTTTGTATAAAATGTTAAGTATATGGAAATACAATGAGTTAAAATAAGTATATCTCTTATTACTAAATACAGTAAACATTTGTCCCCTATTTTTTAAGACAATGACAAAATAAAAGCAATAAAGGCTATATAACTGTACTGAATTGATACTTGTTTGTTTGAAGGGACTTGCACATTCCTTTATTATTGCAATGGGGTTTGTATTTTGTTTTGTTGATCTTGGGGCTGGAACTCAAGGCCTGGGTACTGTCTTTGAGCTCTTTCAATCAAGCCTAGAGCTCTATTACTTTGAGCCACAGCTCCACTTCGGTTTTCTGGTGGTTAACTGGAGATAAGTTTCACAGACTTTCCCGTCCACACCGGCGTTCCTCAGATCTCACCTCCTGACGCCGGGCTTCTGCAATAGTTTTATTTCATATAACCACAGGTGTTGTATCTAAAATGGTCAGAAAAACTTCTTAGGGAAAGCTTATCTAGAACAAAAACATGTAGGATTATAAACCTTAAAAATATGAATGGAATTTTGAGTTGACACAGATGCCAATGACAACTTCTGAGTCTTACAGCCTTCTACAACTTAAGTCTTTAGTCATAAGCCTGTATAAGTTTAACAGTTCATTTTTATTATTTACAGAACTCCCACCCACGCAACATAATCACTGCTGCATAAGTAGGTCAAAATTCTCCTTGGCTCCCTTTGGCATTCGGCGTTAGTATTTAGTTCACTTGTTTACGTGTTCACGATCATTTCGTGTAGGACATACCAAGTTTCCTTATAACAAAATGAAAATGTAAAACCTTGAAGAATCTCCCACTCATCCTGGGTAATTAAGCCTGAAAAGGCACTTCTCCTTCTAATGCTACTTGCCGCAGCCGATCAACAAAGCAGATTTTCCTATTTTGGGGGTGCGGTGGGGGAACTGGTTTAAGCGAAGTTACATAAAAATCTTTCCCAGAAAACCATGAAGATCCCTCGACACGCAAATACCCACTCCTGTGCTTCCTTTCATTCTTTCCTATTATAGCTACAAATTAGTAGGAAAATAACAGCGCCGCCCCCGGGTTTCCGCACTTCGGAGCGCGGGACTAACAGCAGACGGCAGGAGAGAATGAATGGGCTGCCCGCCGGCGCACCGCACCGCACCGCACCGCACCGCGCCGCGCCGCAGTCCGGCGGACGCGCGTTAGGCTCACTGGCCCGCAAGACGAAGCCCCAGTTTGTGAATGAACCAGGGGCCGGCTTCAGCCCACCGCGGCAGCCTCCAGCGGAGCCTGACCGTCGGGAGAAAAGGCCGCTCCCCCTCGCACCACCTCCTCACACAGGAAGGGAGCACCGCCCGACACCTACTCGGGGCGACTCCGAGCCGGCCGGTTCCCGGCTCTTCACCCAGCGCTGCTACCCCCGCCCTCCCCCGAGAGCCCCACCCCGGCGCTCACAGCGAGCGCCACGTCGCTCAGAGCTCGCGCCCCCAGCGGCCCCGCGAGGCTTTGCCCCCTTTAAGTCACCCCGCCACCCGCCTAGAGTCACCGGCTCCCCGGGTTCCGCGTCTCCCTCAGGCCGAAACCAGCCAACGCCAACCTCACTCGTCGCGTTTCGCCCCGGCCCCGCCCACGTGACACCTACGACCCGCCCACCGCGCTCACGTGACCTACGCACATTTCTCTCCTCCCCGCCCCTCCGCCCCCGCACGCGCGGCGAGGGTCGCGGCCGCCGCCGCCATTGTTCCGCCGGGGGAGGCCAGCGGGGCCTGGCGCCGGCGCCGAGACGCCGCTTAGCGGCCGCCACTGGAGACACTCCTCTCTCTCCCACCTCTCCTCCTGGTGGTGGCGGCGGCGGCGGCGTGAGGCTGACTGGGGCGGGGGGAACCCGGAGCCTCCTCTGCCCTTCCCGCGGCGGCAGCGGCCGATCCCCGGCTCCAGCGCGAGGGGCGGCCGCGATGCGTTGGGCCTGAGGCGACCCGGCCCTCGCTGCCTCCCTCGACTGTTGCACAGCCCCTCGGCGCCCCGGCGTCATCCCGTGAGTCCTTCTGACGGGGAGGGAAGATGGCTGCACGGAGCTGGCAGGAGGAGCTGGCCCAGCAGGCCGAAGAGGGTTCGGCCCGACTGCGGGAGATGCTCTCGGCCGGCCTGGGCTTCCTGCGCACCGAACTGGGCCTCGACCTGGGACTGGAGCCGAAGCGGTACCCAGGCTGGGTGATCTTGGTGGGCACCGGCGCGCTCGGGCTGCTGCTGCTCGTCCTGCTGGGCTACGGCTGGGCCGCGGCTTGCGCCGGCGCCCGCAAGAAACGCAGGAGCCCGCCCCGCAAGCGGGAGGAGGCGGCCGCCGCGCCGGCCCCGGCCGCGGATGACCCGGCCCAACTGAAGAATCTCAGGAACGAGGAGCAGAAGAAGAAGAACCGGAAGAAGCTTCCTGAAAAACCCAAAGTGAGTATGGGCGAGCGGGCCGGTGCGGTGGGTACGGCACGGACGCCCCGGAGCCAGGAGGCCGAGTCTCCTCCTGGAAGGAAATAGAGTGCGTTAGGCGACAGGCGAGATGCAGATCTGCCAAAGGGGAGGCGGTGATGGATGGACACATTACTTGGAGAATGGGAGAAACTCAGGAAGGGTTAGGGCAGACGAGTGGGCAAGACCAGTTTACAAGAAAGGAAGTTAGAGGATGGGGGGGAGGGGGTTACCCAGACTTCAAACCTTGACCTTTCTTGTGGCCTACAGGGTAGGTTGTAAGGGGAGGGTAATGGGATCTTCCGGTGGTGTTGGGAAGTTCTGGAAAGACTGTACCTGGAAGACCGATGTCTAAGTCACATTGTGACAGAGGCTACTGAAGAAAATAGGGTGACCTAAAAACTCGGGCTTACAGAGGATTAAAGGTGTCTATGTCTAGATGTGCTTCCATTTTAGTTGGGACTGGAAACGGGAAATGGTTGCCCACTCTTGGTGTAGTGAATGTGGTCAGATAGAGACCGGGAACAGCAGTGGGGCAAGAGGGAGTCAGACTCATAATATTCTTGTGAGCTATTTGGCGCCATGAAAGAGAGCTAAAGCAAGTTCTGTAAATGGGCTATTGTACACCCGGTGATGTGGGAGATTTTTAGAAAAAAATTAAGGGATGACAGGGCAGAAAGGTGAAGATTGGGAGGTTTCAAGCACCACGTGTCGAAACGCAGAGGTAGAGCCTCAGTGCGGAGTTTTACTTTGTGTATGTGTGTGCCCATTCTCATACTGGGCTTAAACTCAGGGCCTCATGCTCTCACTTGGCTTTTTCCACTCAAGGCTGGAGCTCTACCTCTTGAGCCACACCTCTGCTTAGGGATTTTTGCTGGTTAGAGTTAAGAATTTCATGGTCGGAGTTCTCTCTCCCCTCTCCCCCTTTGATCCTTAGATCTCAATGAGCCACCAGCCCCGGCTGCTTCAACATTTTTTATTGCCTTCTCCGTATGGTTTTCACATTATGTTTCAGGTTTTTTTGTTGTTTTTTTGCTTTACAGTTGAGAATATGGAAGGTGTGCAGACTTAGAAACATCTTCTAGCCTATATTTGCATTAAATGACCTTTCGGGTACAATTTAGTAGCCAGTTTCAAGGCCTTACTGTGCAGAAGTACACTTGGTGTGTTTTGTGGTTGGTGCAAGGTATGCACGTAAGAGTTAGAATCCACAAGGAGACTAAGTGTAGGAGGCTGATTCTAAATAATTATATCCATAGACTCATTGGTGCTAATAGAGGCATGTACAGGATGTTATTGAGGTTTGGGAGATTTAATTCTACTGAAGGGACTTAGGAAACTGATCGCAGGAAGTGGAGCTTCATGCCAAACAAATGAAAATGTTGGTAACCATTTTTAAAAAGTCTTTATTAAAGATATGACAGGTCACAATGTAATAGGCCTGGATAAGTATTCAGCTTTTTGCTTGCTGATTAACAAGATAGGAAACCTAGAACATGGTGAGGAATTGTGTGTGCTACTCCTTTATGGTAGAAGAACAGAAAATTTACTCAACTTAGAACGTATATATTTAAACTTTTGTAGACATTGTCAAGGATTACTGGAAAGTAACAAATACAGAATCCAGCTCCACAATAAAGAAAATTGTCTTGGAGGCTGGGAGGACTCCCAGACATTAATCTTAAAATCTGTGTGGATATGACAGGTTGTGAAAATTACAAATCCCTATTTAGGACATCTAGAGTTTCAGATGGACTTGAGGCGAGAGACAGGTGCTCCAAGAGCCCATCTGAAGTACATTATAGCATTCAAATGACTCATCAGAAGAAGAAACAGACTCTGGTGAACATTTGTACTAGGAAAAATATGCATTAGACTTAGGACTTACTCTCCTCCTTTTCATTTGTGTAAGGAAGGAGGAAATGAATGATTGAACCTAATATAAGTGTTGAGGGGTAGAGAATGGGAGACAGGCTGAATGGTATAATGACTGTTAATTGGGTGAGAAGATCTTTATTTCCAACACATACCCACAAAACTGTTCTCTGTGTTTTGAACCAAAGAATTGATTATGAGAGATGACCCCCAGTTACTAAAATGCAGCTTTACAGGTCTAAGTATAAACTGCCATTTGTTTAGTTCTCATTATGTGCCTTGCACTGTGCTACACGTATTTACTTGGAGAAAAGCAATATACTAGTTATGTAAACTGAAGGCAGGAAAAAGGGATACAGTATTGTCAGTCTCAGTGTGAGGGAAATATAAAAGTAGAGGCTCATGTTCTCCCCAAGCAGCTTTTTTCCCCCAGAGCCCACCTATTTGTGGGCTCTGCATCCATGGATTCAGTCAAGGATCAAAATTATGACTATCCCACATATATACTTTTTTCCTTGTTATTATTCACTAAACAATATAGAATGTCAACTATTTTTATGTACTAAGTATGATTAATCAAAAGATGACTTCAAGAGTATGAGGCTGTAAGTAATGCACAAACTGAATGTAATTTTATTATATAGGGATTTGGGCATCTGCAGATTCTTGTACTTATGGTAGTCCTTTAACAAAGTACTTTGCTGGGGGGAAAATTATAACAATACAATCCCACTGTAGGCGTGGGTGGAGACAAAAATGCCGAATCACGGCATTTGCTTTTAAAGTGGGTAGGAGATTAGATTAAAGTAGTGGGAGAAGCCTGAGAAATAGCAAAGGCCCAGGGATAGAGGAAGACAATCTGGCTGGCTGGCTGACTGGCTGGCTGGAAAGGGAAACTCTAAACTTGGGTAAAGCATTTAACCTTAACTATTAGCTTATATTGTTTACATATTAAAGATCTCAAGTACTGTAGAAGTGTCCCTCTTCCAGAATGCTTACAATAGAGTAAAAATTTGTAGCTTCTCAGCCTTTCCTCAGATTTTAAAAAATCAAAATCTCCAGAACAATGTTTAGGGTATCTTGCCTTTTCTTTTCAGACATGGTCTGGCTAGTCCAGGCTGACCTAAATGATCCTCCTACCTTAGACTACTGAGTACTTGGGGCTCAAGTTGTAAAGTTGCCTACCTAGCAAGCACCAGATCCTGAGTTCAGTTCCTATTACTGCCAAAAACAAAACCAACAACAACAACAAAAAACACCATTTTTCTAGTCCAGTGTGGTGTCGGGCACAGTTGTAACCATCCCAGAACTTGAGAAAGGAAGGAGAACCTTGAGTTCAGACTGACTTGAGCTTCAAAAACAAGGATCTTTAATACAAAATTAATTACCAAGTGTAGTCTGTCTATTAATTCATTTGTTCATTACCACATTCTGTATTTAAGTGGGTTCAGTGATATAACCTGATACAACCTTCCCAGGACTTCATGCATGCTAGGCTAGCACTCTACCACTAAGCCACTTCCCAGGCTCATTACTTCTAAGAAATAATCTGGTTAGCTAGAGTTCTGAGTCTCTGTTTATATTGACTTTTTAAAAGGCCCTTTCTGGAGCCGGGCACTGGTGGCTCACGCCTGTAATCCTAGCTACTCAGGAGGCTGAGATCTGAGGATCGCGGTTCAAAGCCAGCCCGGGCAGGAGAGACCATGAGACTCCTATCTCCAATAAACCGCCAGAAAACCGGAAGTGGCGCTGTAGCTCAAGTGGTAGAGCGCTCACCTTGAGCTGAAGAGCTGAGGGACAGCGCCCAGGCCCAGAGTTCAAGCCCCACGACGGACAAGAAAAAAAAAAAAAAAAAAAAGGCCCTTTCTGTAATCCTACCTACTCTGGTGGCTGAGATCTGAGGATCACTGTTCACAGACTGCCTAGGCAGGAAAGTCCCTGACACTCTTATCTCCAGTTAACCATCAGACAACCAGAAATGGTGCTGTGGCTCAAGTGGTAGAGCTCTCTCACCTTGAGCTAAAGAGCTGTGGGACCAGGCCGGGTTCAAGCCCCAAACTGACCAAAAAAATGGGGGGAGTAGTTGTGGAGGTGGGAGGGAAGGGATGGAAGAGGACAAACAAAGGCGGAGGCAACAATGCTCAAGAGGAAATGTACTCATTACTGCTAATGTAACTGTAACCCCTCTGTACAGTATTTTTACAATAAAAAAGTACCGGGAAAAAAAAAGCCCCTTTTTCTCTACCAGTTTTTGTTGATGTGAATTGGGCTTTGGGTGTTTTGTTTTGTTTTGTTTTTGCCAGACCTGGGGCTTGAACTCAGGGCCTGGACATGTCCCTGAGCTTTTTTGCTCAAGGCTAGCACTCTTACCACTTGATCCACAGTGCCACTTCTGACTTTTTCTGTTCAGTTCCTCTGGAATTGAACCCAAGGCTTCCTGCGTGCAAGGCAAGCACCACTCTACCTCTAAGCCCAAGCAAGCCTTGAACTAACATTCTTCCTGTCTTCAGTTCCTATTGAGATATGTACCATCGTATCTGGCTTCTCTTACAAATATTTAGCCATTCTTTGAGGCTCTGCCTTTACTTTAAAGATTTCCATTGTTCCATAGTTATATGTTCCTTGTAACATTTAGCATAATATTTCGTGTTTAGTGGAAACTACAGTTGCCAGTTACAAAAATCAAATTGGTCATTCAATATTCAAACATGTCTATATGGGTAGCGTAGAGCACATTGCTAGTGGTTATATACAGTATACTGTATATACAGTGACAGCTCAATATAGTTAAGTTTCCTTGCTTTACAGTAGTTACATTCTATAAAGTCACTGCAAACATTGAACTGGTAAGTACTGACTATATCCCCTAAAGAAAATGCAAGTTTAGGTTTCTGCAAACTCTTCTGATCACATTATTTTCAGCAACCAGTTAATACATGGCTTTGTTTTATGGGTATTTCCATTTAAAGATACTATAATACAAAGATAATATTGTTAATCCATTAATATTAAACTCACAGACAGCAGTACTGAAATTCAGGCCTGAATGAAGCTTATTATCTAATATGCAAAGTTTCTCTGTAAGGTATATTGTTGCCTTCTTGCAA